ATCTTAAAAAAATCCTAATATATAGCCAAAATATAACAAAGAACAGTTGGGAGTGCAAAACTTTTTGCAGAATCTTTACACTCCATATACTAATATAGCACTATTTGTCAGTACCAACTTAGACAATTTAGTATCTTATATTGAAGTTTTGTTCTAACTCCTATTAAATTATATGGGAAAAGATCACAAATAATTCCTTTAAGCAATGTACCATCTTTTACAAGCATAGATTAAAGTTGTGATCTTCCTTCATTTATTTATTCCATCAACAAGCCTACCGATTATCTAATTGGTCCTCCCTGACCTCATGGGCCTCCCAATGAAATTGGCCAGATAGCCACCGACAATTAAATACAAAAGGTGAAGTGATGGGAGCAGACATATGGCTATTTACAGAAGCCTGAGGTGGGCAAGGACAGAGCTCGGGTAAAGGTCATGTGCGACCTGAGCCTCCACAGGTAACAGCCAGGCTTAAAAACTGGGAAGAGACTAAAGACAGACAGTATTTCTCTAGATTAAGTTCCCCCACCTTAAAAAAACCAACACACCAAACAAATTTAAATTTTTTTTTAACTCATTTGGAAAGGGGTCTTCCAGTGAGAAATCTATTCAGTTTACGATGATCAAGTAATAGTCCCAAGTAGTAAATCACCCAACTCAATGGAGAAAATGTAGGAAAAATTCAAATGACTATACAAGCAGACAGAAAGTGACAGGTTTCTGATGTGTGGAACACAAGGTAATGCACAGGAAGGAGAAAACACTTCAAATACTTAAAATTTAAGCCTGATAGGCTCTCAATACAACAAAGCAGGAAGACCTAGGAGTGTTTGTAGAGGTCATCTTCTGCAACTTTGCCTGTGAAACTTCAGTTAAAAAGCCCAACAAAACAATGGACTTCCTTAAGGACTGGATTGGAAATGGGACAGAATACACTATCTTGCCTTTAACAAAAAGATGGCCTTTCAAACCAAAGTACTGTGTACAGTTCTAAACTCTAGTTCAGAGGCAGTGAAGTACAGTGATTAACAGACGTATTCAAATCCAACTTTCTGCCACTTACTATGTCACAGTTCCTTCACTTGTAAAATGGGAGTAGACCCACCTGAGTTGTTCTGCAATTAATGAAAAAACATGTAATTTTTTAGCATAGTACTTAACATATAAGAGTGTTCCCCGAAATGGTAGCTATCATTACTACTATAAAGCATGAAATAATCTCCCAGAGAAAAGCCATTACAATATCAAGAGACATTCTTAAACATTAATATGCATTAAAATCACCTCAAGGGCTTGTTGAAAATGCAGACTCCTAGGACCCATTCCTCCCAGGGATTAATTCTACAAATCTAAAGCAGAATGTGGGGGGAATAAAAAATTAAACATAAAAATAAAACATAAAATAGAATGTGGCCATTCTCTAGCCCAAACATCAAGTAAGAGAATCAAGGTACTACCCTATTTAAAGGAAAAAAAAAAAAAAAAAGTTGAAATCAAGGGTTCTCCCATTCAAAGAACTAATCTAAAACAGTATGTTCAAGAGGAATACACACCTGTTCAGCAAGTTCATTCATTCAACTAACATACACTGAGTTCCTACAGTGAAAAGGATAGACAAGGTCCCCATTCTCTCAGATGAATTTCTAGTATAGGAAACAGAATATATAAATAAGGAAATTCCAGATAGTACAAAATGTTATGAAGAAAATAAGAGAATGGAGAGATAATTAGGGAGTAATCTTCTCAAAGAAACATCTAGGGGCACCTGGGCAGCTCAGTCGTTAAGTGGCTGCCTTCGGCTCAGTTCATGATCCCAGAGTCCTGGGATTGAGCCCCACATCGGGCTCCCTACTCAGCGGGAAGCCTGCTTCTCCCTCTCCCACTCCCCCTGCTTGTGTTCCCTTTCTCACTGTATCTCTCTGTCAAATAAATAAATAAATTCTTTAAAAAAAAGAATAAAAAAAAAAGAAACATCTGAACTGAGACTTGAATGACATGATAGAATCAGCCACAGCAAGATCTGGAGAATATTGAAGCCACAGGGCACAGCAAGTGTAAATGCCCTAAGGCAGGAACAAGCCTGGCAAGTTCCAGCGACAGTGCCAGTAGGGCTGGAAAACAGGAAGAAACTGACGTGGCCAGGCTCCAGGATACTAATCTAAGCAGAGGGATATATGGTGAGTTAAGGGAAGGAGGCAGGGCCAGAACATGTAGTGTGGATTTTATTCTGAACATGATGGAAGGCTTTTCCAAAAAAAGGGTAACATAATCTGATTTGCACTTTAACAGATCTCTTAGGCTGTGGTAAGGGGAATGCACCACAAAAAGACAAAGTGGAGGTTAGGAGACCAGGAGGTTAATACGGTAGGCCAGGTAAGAGATAGTGAAAGCTGGCAAAAGTGGAAGCGGTAGCAAAGGGAAGTAGTGGCCAAATTTAGAATGCATATATTAAACACTATAATTAAATGCAAATCAGAGAAAAAGAACTAAGTTGCAAAATAAGTAGTAAGCATCTGGGACTCATTATCCAAGAGATACGGAATAAAAATTGAGATTTAAGGTTTTAGGTATGTTTATGATTAAGGAACGTGAACGGTTAATAGCATATTTAGGATACTTCCTAATAAATATTTATCCTCTGAAGTTGAAGTGAAGGGGACATTTCCTTTTCTTTTGGCACCACCAAGAAGGCACTGGGCTAAACAGGTATACACCCAACACCCTTAAGTGGGATTCATAAAGTAAAATCTTTCGGGACTCACGGACAGAGGCCTGGCCAGATGGTCAGCATTTGGAGCATAGTGTAGCTATGGAACAGAACTAATGCTTTACCTGAATCAAATCACTAGATCAGTAAAACCCTTTTAAACTTTCTATCGTCAGCTTAGGCTATTCTGTCCCTGCTCTCCCACGAGTTAAACAAGAAAACATTACAGTGACACACAATGCACGTTAACTTCTTAATGTTATCAAAGAAGTCTGGGAGGAAATCTTTTAAAACCACGATTTTAGAGACGCCTGGGTGGCTCAGTCGGTTAAGAGTCTGGCTAGGGTCATGATCCCTCCTGAGATTAGTCCCCTATCAGGCTCCTTGGTCCGCGGGGAGCCTGCTTCTTCCTCTGCCTCTCCCCACTGCTCATTCTCTTTCTCTCTCTCAAATAAATAAATCTTTAAAAAAATAATAATAAAACAATTATTTTAATCATTAGGGATTGGCAAACACAGTGAATATACCCTAAAATTTAAGGCCCAAAAGTCCCTCTCCACCAAAACATAAATTCTTACTCCAAAGTACTACCACGTTAGGAAGAACAGGTTACAGAAAAGCATATGCAATATAATACCACTTTTGTGTAAAATGTATAACTGCAAAAAAGAAGTCTAGAAGGATATAAATCACTGCGAACATTTTGATCATCTCTGGATGGCAGGATTATCAATAACTTATTTTCTTCTTTTTTCCTTATTCACTGTAATAATTCTCCAATTATAAACTATTCCACGTAAACCAGAATATTCAGTTCACATTACATAAAAGGTTAAAAAAAAAAAAACCCCACTTCAAGGAAACCTAATTTCATTTATCTAAATCAGCAGGATTCCAACTGTGGTATTAAGAAAAAAGATCTGAACTGCACACACAGCACACAGGAGAAAGAAATCTGTTAAGAGGCCCAGGATCTACCACACAAGGATACACCCTTCAAGGAAGCGGTCTAAATGCCTAAGTACTCTTCCTGAATTTCATAAGGTGCAATCAATTAGCACATACTTCTGCTGTTCTTTCTTGCCATTTACCAAAGAAACACCTCAACCAATTCTCTGGGGACAAAAATAAAGGGGGGTGGGGTTTCCAAGTTAGGGCGAAAAGGAGGTTTGGCCCTCTGGTCTCCTTTGTGCTGTCCAGGGGTGCGGAGGACGGCAGGGCTTGAAGCAAGCTACACCAGAGGAATCTGCGTGGCAGATCACCTGAAGTGGAAGGGAACACAAGCTTTCTACAATCTCCACTGAACTGGGCCATGAAACCGCCTCCTAAGTCTCAAGGCTAAAACACCTGAAAGGGCTTACACCATCCAAGTTATTGTGTATGTAGAGCTGCCAACGGTTTCTGACAATAACACAAAAATTGGAAGGGCTCTTCAACAAACGCAGGTATTACGGGCGTGAGGCTCACTCGACTCGCGATGCAAAAACCAAGACACCTTCTCTTATTAAGGCCAGATCTTCGATTCTGCAAACTAGGACAACTCAAAACACCCTAGTGACTTTCTACAGCTAACAAACATCATCTTGGCTAAAATCCAAACACACGTAGAAGCAGCCACTTTGGAAAACTTTGTCTTTAAACGGCAACACTGGACTTCAAGTGCTCCGGTAACCAGTTTATCGCACATTATGTCTTATAAAGGGTGCTACCTCTTTACTGTCAGCTCTGGTTCCACTTACTGAACAAACAGAAATAAGGAATACTTTCAATTCGCACAATAAGGACTAAAAAAGCTCCCGCTTTCTGGAAGGCAGCTTTCCTGTCTCATCAATCACAACAAAGGACGCATCCTAATGAATTCATCAAACCTAGAGAAAGAGAGGTAAATGATACAGTGTGGATTTCAGGGTTTGTGGGTTCTTCCTTCCAGCTACGACTCTCTTCTTTTTACTCCATTATACGCCTCCACCCGAGCTGACTGTCTTGCCCTAAAAATAAAACCACCCGTGGCTACCGTCCACTTTCCTGCTAAGCCCCGACTCTGGTTTCCTGCAGAGAAAGCCAAATTGCAGGCTCTCTGCCTCGCTCTTCGCCGGCGGGGCGCGGGCTCGGCAGCAGCGGGCTTCTCCCGGTGCAGAGTCACCAGACCGGCCGGAGAACCACGGGGCCCGAGAAGCCAGCCCCGCTCTGCCGCAGCCGCCGCAGTCCCCCAGAGCCTGAGGAGCCCCCAAGAAAATCAGGGTGAGGGGAGGGTGGGCCGGCAAACGGCGGTGGTAGAGGGGGAGACACTCACCCGCCCAGACAACAACCGACGGGGCGGGGAGGATGGGGGCCGGGACCAAGGTTCGGCAGAAAGACCGCCTGAAGCTTCCGGAACGCTGCGGCTGCTCGGGACGCCGCGGCCGGTGCTGCTCCTGGCCGCTGGCTTCCTCCCCTCCTCTGTTTTGATTCGATTGACCACGTCACTCTAAGCCACGAGACCCGGATCTGCCGGCTCCAGCGGGCGGCGGCGCAACAGATTGCTGCGACTCGAGACCCCAGCGGCCCGCCTGCGGAGCATGCGCGTGCCCTGCGCCTGCCCAGTGCGTCGGGGTAGGCGGGGCGGGCGCGCTCGCTACAGGCGCGAGCCACACGCTATTCGTGGGGGCGCAGAGCGCGGGGGTTGCAGTTCCGGTTGGGAGGGGTGGGGCCGAGCGCAGTGAAGTGAAGAGGGCGAGGCCCCGTGTCTGTGGAACTGGCCGGCGTAACCTCTGTTTCGTCTTTGGTGAACAATGTCCTTTGCTGTGCGTCTCCCTTTGCCTGGTTTGCTGGCTCTCTCTGACCCGAGCCCTTAGAATAGCGAGGGGAGAAGCAGAGGTGGGCGCAAGTTCGTGTCTGCTAAGAAAGGGTACCACAGTAGAGTTGTGGGGTTTTTGTTTTGCGTGTGTAAGGTGTAGTGTTTGGTTTGGTTTGGTTTGGTTTGGTTATGTGGGGAGAAGGGGCTGGGGGTTTTTTTGGCTCACTTAGGCCCGGGTGAAAATTGGAGATGAGAATTTAGTTCGATGCACAAATGTATGTCAAATGTAGCAGTTATTGAATCCCCTTTACCCGACCTAACGTTTTTGCACCCGAAAAGCTATCCAAAATCAAGCTCAAGAGAAATATTAAAGGGAATATGTCACCAACCATGGCTTGCTGCTGGTCGGGAGATGGGGAATGGGCAGGGGGGAAGAAGCTCTGTTGGACAGCAGCCCTTAGCCTTTGTTGCCAGAATAAGGATACTATTTGGGGGGTAAAAACCTCACTTCTTTGGGAACTAGTTTGGTCCTTCCTCCATCCCCATTCTGGCCTTCCTAGTCTCCCAGCTAAACCTTTGGTGCCCTGGAAATTTCCCAGAATGGCAAAACCTAGGGCTACTCTGTTTTAGGTCCACGAATGAACAAACTTTAATTAGAACAGGACCAGTGGCAAAATAAAAGCGAAAGTTCCAAACAGGTTTCACAGAGGCATATCCTCCACCTGTCTTGGAGAAGAGGTGAAAGTTAGCTGTAAAAAAACTGTCTTCCTTACTGTGACTTGATCTTTTCACCTCTCTGAATTTCTACCCAGCCACTCTGTAAATCCTCTCGCCTGAGTCACCTTCAGCAAGTTAGTAGTATAGTCTGCAAGATCTTTTTAATGCACGCGGATATTGCACACAGATAAAGATTTCTAGAAAATTAGAAGTTTTTGGTAAAACTCAAAGTGTTTCTTCATTAATTTACAGATTACCAGTAAGTAGAAGTCAAACCTCTTGGCCTTAATCTGCCATCTTGAACTCTGTTTCCTCAAAGTTAGAGAGCTTGAGGTGGGATCTAATGCTCTAATGAAGTTCATGTGCTGATACTGTATAGCAGAGGATTTTTAACGTGTGGAATTTTAACTGTGAAACAAAGTCTTAAATGCTTAGGTGTACTCATGTGCGCAGATGTGTTTGAGAACACTGTTTAAAACAACAGAATGGCACAAAACTAGAATTAAACAGGTTGTTGCAAAATTATCAATACCTGCTTTATGAACTATATTACAGGAAAGTTAGGATGTTAGGATCCTTGGTAGGCAGCTTCCAAGGTAACCTCCAGTGATTCTCACCTCTGGAAATGTAGTCCCCCTCCAGCCCTTTGAATCAGTACTGGTCCCATCCATAGAATACAGCTGAAGGTGTGTGACTTCTGAGGCTAGGTCATAAAGGCACTGATTGCAGCTTTCCACTTCATTCTTTTGGATTGCTTGCATTGGGGGAAGCTAATATACACACAACTCCACTCAAACAGCTCTGTAAAGGGACCACGTGGAGAGGAACAAGAGCCTCTACCAACAGCCTCACCAACTTGCTAGCCATGTGAGGGAACTGCTTTGACTGGGCTGATCTTGTAACCTTAGCCAAGCATTGGATGACTGCATCCCTGCCCAGCATCCTCTTGCAATCCGTGAGAGAGAGAAAGGGCCAGCTTTATTCCCAGACAGTGATACGGGGTCTTACATGGTTTATGCCCAATTGTAAAGTTCAAACTTTCTAAACTTTAAACAATAGAAAGACAAAATGTGTGTGATTCTATACATAAAATAATTTGAAGAATAACATAGAATTCCTCCCACAGTACCCAGAACATAGTAGATACTGAATAAATACTTCTTAAATTATTTTTTATTTATTTGGGGTTGGGGAACAAAGGAAGATTTGAGGGATAGTAAATCAAAGTTTATTAACAGTACAAAGCCCCCAAAGAGGTAGAGGACCCAAAAGAGTTACCCAATAAATACTTTTCTTAAAGATTTATCCATTTTAATCCAAGCTGATTCCCTCTCCAGGGGGCCTGCTCGTGCCCCTCTTCAGGAAAGCAGCAACTTGGAAGAAAATCTGGCATGCCTGAGGTTGCTGGGGGAGAGGACATGTCTGTTTCCTTTGACTTCCTTTGGCTGCCTACACTCAACTCCAGTCCCTTCTGGCTCAATTGTGTCCCCTCCTCGCGCTCATGCTGTCGTGTCCTCTCCCCTGACCTAGGCCAGAGGCATTGTTGTGAAGCAGGTTTTTTTAGTCATCAACTATGACCTTCCCACGAGCAGGGAAAACAATATCCACAGAATTGGTCAGTGGACGATTTGGCCGTAAGGGTGTGGCTATTAACATGGTGACAGAAGACAAGAGGACTCTTTGAGACATCAAGACCTTCTACAACACCTCCATTGAGGAGATGCCCCTCAATGTCACTGACCTCATCTGAGGAGCTGTCCTGCTACCTAGCCCCACCCAGGGTTCAGTCTGAGGGACTGAAGAGGAGCAGGAGGGGGAAGGGACGGGAACCAAGGGATGGATATTTTTTCATTTTTTTCTTTGAATAAATGTCACTTTTTGAGGCAAAAGAAGGAATCATAAAAAAAAAAACAAAAGATTTATCCATTTTAGAGAGACCATGTGTACAAATGCATGAGTCAGGGGAGGGGCAGAGGGAGAGACTCTTAATGAGGATTCCCTGCTGAACCCAGTGCTCAAGGCAGGGCTCAATCTCAGGACCCATGAGATCATGACCTGAGCAGAAACCAGGAGTCAGATACTCAACGACTGAGCCACCCAGATGCCCATGGACACACAAAACTAAAAGACACAACATTTGGAAAATATTGGGAATAAATACTGATAAAGGAGTAATACCATAATATATGAAGAACTCATACATATCCATATGGAAGAAATCAATGCCGCTAATACTTTATAGGTATAGAGTATGAACACAACAAGAGTTGACACACAAAAAAATACAAATAACTAATACTTGAAAATCTTTGATCTCGTCAAAATGCAAATTAAGGTGTGCTTGGGTGGCTCAGTCAGTTAAACATCCAACTCTCGATCTCAGCTCTGGGTCTTGATCTCAGGGTCATGAGTTCAAGCCCCACATTGGACTCCATGCTGCATGTGGACCCTACTCTAAATAAATAAATACATAAATAAATGCAAATTAAAGTAAATTTCCTTTGTAAACTACTACTTTATAGAAATTTTTAAGATTTTTTATTTTTAAGCAATCTCTACACCCAACATGGGGCTCAAAATTCACAACACTGGGGTGCCTGGGTGGCTCAGTGGGTTAAGTCTCTGCTTCAGCTCGGGTCAGGACTCAGAGTCCTGGGATCAAGCCCGGCATCCGGCTCTCTGCTCAGCAAGGAGCCTGCTTCCCCCCCCCACCCCCGCTCTGCCTGCTGCTCTGCCTACTTGTGATCTCTCTCTCTGTCAAATAAAATCTTAAAAAAAAAAAATTCACAACCCTGAGATCAAGCGTCTCATGCTCCACTGACCAAGCCAGCCAGACAGCCCTGGAGATATTTTTAAATAGGAGTATCTAATATTGGTATTGTTAGCTCTACTGGTAGAAATTTTTAGTTGGCAGTTAGCTTTTTGAAGATTTGGCTGTGTATAAGAAGTTCTATAAAAATCACATCCATTAGCTCGATTTCACTATTAGGAACTTAAGTAATTTAAAAGTTAATAACATTATAAAGATATTAATTGCAGTTATATGATGAAATAAAAATATGGAAATAACCTATGTGATCACTGGTAATGGAATAGATAACGTTGTTGCATTGTGTGTTAGGATCTAAGAAACTTGAGTATAGAAGTCATTTATTTTTATTTTATTTTATTCATTTGATAGACAGAGATCACAAGTAGGCAGAGAGGCAGACAGAGAGGAGGAAGCAGACTCCCCGCTGAGCGGAGAGCCTGATGCAGGGCTTGATCCCAGGACCCTGAGACCATGACCTGAGCCAAAGGCAGAGGCTTAACCCACTGAGCCACCTAGGCACCCCTAGAAATAATTTAAAATAGATTTTTAAAAAGTTAACCACGTTTTATATAATGGAGAAAAAAATCAAGAAATCATCTAAACATATAATGGTAATGGAATGAATGGATGAATATGTTAAATTATGTGCTAGGGATTAACAAACTTGAAAGTTTCTTCCCTTTCTGAACCAGACCCTACTTTGATTCTTGATCTAGAAGAAGAAAGTGTTTGTAAATAATATATGCTTTATATATTCATAAAAGCATTCTGGAAGATATTCCTAAAACTACTGACATTGGTTACTGGGGGCAGGGAGCGTGGGTGAAGAGGAGTAGGTGATGAGAGACTTCCTTATGACTTTTTACACTTTTGTCTGGTTTGAATTTTTACATATCCTTGCATTCCTTTTGCGATGAAAAAATTATTAATATTTTTAAAAAGATTTTATTTATATATTTGACAGAGAGAGATCACAAGTAGGCAGAGACAGAGGGGGAAGCCGAGCAGAGAGTCCAATGCGGAACTTGATCCCAGGACCCTGAGATCATGACCTGAGCCGAAGGTATAGTCTTAACCCACTGAGCCACTCAGGCGCCCCAGTTATTAATATTTTTTTACCTTTTTTTGTGGTTGTATCAGGCTGCCTGTTTCTACACAGGCTGCCATAACAGAATACCACAGACTGGATGGCTCAAGCAACAGAAATTTATTTTCTCAAAGTTCTGGTGGT